ATATGTTCAGTAATTACAAGATTAGGCAGCAATTAACTATGATGAACCACAATATTTAAAGGTGGTAAAGATGAAGCGACAACTGTAAATCATTTTGACTGCCGACGGTGTTGAAGAAGCGGAATGCCCATAATGTGCCTTCCTGCATGCCATAGGCACGAACCACTTTTTTCCAACCCCTTGTGATGATTGCCCGCCCATCCTTCACCGCCTTCTGGAAGACTTCTAGAGCATTATCATGGTAGCATGAATTATATACTTTAACCTTAGTTGCCTCCACTCCGGTCATGTAGTTTGCAAGGTAATCATCAGTAAATAGCTTCGAAAACCCCTGAAAAGAGAAAAATATCAGATACTGAGGTCTAATAGAGTAACTTGTTGTGGGCAGGGGGAAAAGGAAACACATTACTTACCATCCTAAAGTTCACTACTGTCTTGGACAAAGTGTAAATAAAGAGCTTAATTCCAATCACCTGTTTCTTTCACCTAACAATCTTTCTTAGCTTCCTCACTTGACGCTAGTTCATGAATATCTAATTGCCCCATACGCAAAAGGGATCGAAGCGTGGATCAGTACCGCTCATATATGTACCTACAAGTAACCAGTAAATGTTAGAAGCTAAACTGAGATTGCACAAATGATGTAAAATACAACTACCTATGTTCGTAAGTACAAGTTTTTTTTTGATATTTGAATATGAACTACATACGGATGTATATAGAATTATAGATATAGTTTAGATTAGAATCTAAATTCAGTCATTTTGCTCCTTATGTAGTCTATATTGGAATCTCTAAAAATACTTATATTTAGGAATAGATGGTGTACAAGACATGGGATGCAACTAACCTCGACGACAAACAACAGCATCGCCCATTGTAGCCCTGTATAAGTACATGGAAAGCCAATGTTAACTACAACAGGGTTAACATCCACCAAAAATAGCAAATGGTAATAAAACGATAGCATATGTAGTGATATCTTCATTGCGAAAGAGTAGCACGGTAGCAAAGGGATGGATTAAAAAATGGATACAACCGTTAATTGCAATAGGCTTAACAACATCCAAATTCATGTTTTGTAAGTTTGTAGCCATTGAAATACAACTCTTTAAAAATGGATACAACTGTTAATTGCAACAGGCTTAATGGCCATTGAAACCGGTACTGATAAAAATGCAATTGGCAGAGTTAAACATCACAGGGCAGGTGTTGCCAGAGCAGATAATGGCCCCGCTGTCTATAAAAAGGTAGGGAAAATAGCTAAAACGTGTTAGGCGTGTTTACTACAACGTGCTTAATACATCGATCGTACAAAACATAGCCATTAATTGCAACTGGTATTGGTAAGATTGAACTGGTGAGTACATACTTGGTAAGTCTTGAGAGGTGGTTGCTGGGGCACTTCATCTTGGCCAGAGCCCGTCCAAAGTCAGCAGCGACGGAGGCGAGCTATTCCTCCGGGTCGAAGCGTGGATCAGTGCCACTGACATGTGTACCTACAGAGAACCAGTAAATGGTAGAAGTTAAACTCCAATTGCACAAATGATGTGAAATACTATAAGACATGGGATGCAGCTTACCTCGACAGCAAACAATAGCATCGGTCATTATGACCCTGCGTAAGTACATGGACAAGCATGTTAAGTACAACAGGGTTAGCATCCACCAAAAATAGCAAATGGGCAGCATCTCTAGTATATCTTCATTGCGGAGAGTAGCATGGTAGCAAATGGACAGATTAAAAAATGGATACATCTGTTAATTGCAACAGGCTTAACAACATCCTAAGTCATGTTTTGTAAGTTTGTAGCCATTGAAATACAACTGTTTAAAAATGGACTCAACTGTTAATTGCAACAGGCTTAATAGACATTGAAACCGGTACTGATAAAAATGCAATTGGCATAGTTAAACATCACAAGGTAGGTGATGCCAGAGCATAAAATGCCCAGATGTCTATAAAAAGGTAGGGAAAGTAGCAAAAACGTGTTAGGCATGTTTACTAGAACATGCTTAATACATCGACCATACAGAACATAGCCATTAATTGCAACTGGTATTGGTAAGATTGAACTGGTGAGTACATACTTGGTAAGTCCTGAGAGGTAGTTGCTGGGGCACTTCATCTTGGCCAGAGCCTGCCCAAAGTAAGCGATGGCGAAGGCGAGTTATTCCTCTGGGTCGAAGCATGGATCAGTGGCACTGACATGTGTAGCTACCAGCAACCAGTAAATGGTAGAAGTTAAACTGTAATTGCACAAAAGATGTGAAATACTCTAAGACATGGGATGCAGCTAACCTCGACGGCAAACAATAACATTGGTCGTTATGTCCCTACGTAAGTACATGGACATGCATGTTAAGTACAACAGGGTTAGCATCCACTAAAAATAGCAAATGGGCAACATCTCTAGTGATATCCCGAGTCATGTATTGTAAGTTTGTTGCTGGTATTGGTGAAATTGAGCTGCACACGGTTATATTTGAACATGACATAGTATGCAATACTGAAATAAACAAGGCACGAACATGCTTAATACATCAACCATACAAATCATAGCCGTTCCAAGTGGTATTGGTAAGATTTAGCTGGTGTAACAGCCTGGATTTTGGCCCTTCTCTTTTTCTTTTTGATTTATTGGTTTTTGCTCTGTTTTTCTTTTTGGAGTGGTTCTGTGGCCTTGTCACTGGGGAAATCATCCTCATTTCCCCTCCGTAGTGGCTCATCATTCTCAAAACCTTGCCAAAATCATGTCACTCCACTGCTTGACCAAACCCTAATTCCTTTTTGTAGGAAATATTCCTTTTTCTATTAAAGGAATAATCCTATCTGCCCTAGGTTGTGAAGCAACCTATATTTCTATCCATCCAAAAATACCCAAATAAATCTTATAAATTTTTTGGGTCATATCTTCATCAAATATGGCAAAATATTTCATTGGCCATATTTCTCATCATGCTCAATAAATTCACTTCCTATTCTCTCCTAAATGGCACATTGTGAAGCAAGTGCTATTTATCTTTGCCCATTTGCCCCCAAACTTTTTGGGAATGATATATCATCCAAATAATTGTCCAATGCCAAAATTCAGCTTTATTTGCCTAGCCAAACTTCCTCAGTGATTTTTCAAAGTTCCTATTTGAGGGAAACCTTTGTGAAGGAAGTGCTATCTAGGGTTATCAAAATGAGTTGAAATTGTGCACACTCCTTCATGTGCTCATATTATCTCACTCATCCAAATTGCAGCTCCATCCCTTGATCTATGTGAGCACCACATCAAATCTTTGATTCTGTCAATATTTTTAGGTTGTGAAGCAAGTATATTTTATATTGCTTCATTTTGCCTGAAAATTTACCAGATCATTCTACTACACAAATAACTTCTCTCCACCAAATTTGGGATCAATTCACCTAGCCAATATTTCTCTAGAATTTTTGCAAGTTTCTGGACAGAGGGAATAGCTATGAAGCAAGTACCATTTTCATAAAACCAATTGGTATGAAATTTTTATAACACCTTTATCTAGCCAAATCACCAAGCCTTGCCAAAATTTACCTCAAGTGGTTACTCTATGTGAGTGAACCATCATGATCTTGATTCTGGGCCCATAATGTGAGTTACAAAGCAACTATATTAGTTTGTGCTCCATTATGCCCCAAAACCTCCAGGATCATAGTGCTTCCATAGATAATCACCCCAGACAAACTATTTGGTGCTAGTAAAATCCCTGTTGCTCAGCAGTTCTCACCCAAATTTACTGTAGTAAACTTTAGAGGGTGATTACCTTTTAACCAGAGCAGTTTTAATCGATCTACCACCACGGTTGCAACCTCCCCAGGATGGACTACGCCCTAGACAACGTTTGCCAACCCTTGGCATCTTCTCCTAGCCAGTCTGCGCAGTGACCACCACTTTGGCATGCAATGGCCACGTCCAGAATGACTTCTTGCTCGGGCCCATCCTCTGCTCGGCGTCTCAACGAGAACGAGCATGTCTAACAGATTTACCGTGTCGTCGCCATCCTCCTAGACCTCTCCCCCTCTCAGTAAGACCCCTCATCGACGCTCACTGACTCTCGCCATCGAATGCCCACGAGAGCATAGTGGTGGTTTGGCTCTGTTCGTCGATGTCGTCATCCTCGCTGCGCTCCATTGGCCTCCTCTACCCCGTAGAGGCTCCACTGTGCTTGCCTCGTCGCATGCCTCCGAGCCCATGCGCGTGGGCACACGTCCGCGGAGCCGGCCACGCGTCCGCGGAGACGACAATGCGTCACCCCTCTCTCCCGCCTATATAAGGCCAGCTCGACCCCGTGTTGCTTCACCACTGGCCTCCTGCACCTCCTCTAGTCCTGCCTAGCCATTTCCCCGAGCTCGAGGAGCTCTCGTTGCCCTCCCATGGCCGAAGCCTCACCGCAGTGCTCCGCTCAAATTTGGCCGACCCGAGCCACCCCTCCACTCCTTCACCTGGCCCACATCTTCCCCGTGCTCCGATGACCCTCCCCAGCCTCTTCGTTCTTCGTTGGAGTCAGTGTGGCCGTGACCCCAAGGATCGGCCGAGCCGCCCAAGCCCTCTACGCCGTGAGCCGCCGACGCCCCGTCCCCTCTCCAGCGCTGCTGCTGCTCCAGGCAGGAGCGGCACACTGCCCGCGTCCTCAGGTGGCCTCCGCCTGGCCGAAGCCAGCCGGAGCAGGCCGGCCGTCGTCGGCAGCGCCCTCGCCTGCTCCCTCCTCTGTTTCCATCGGGGGCAGGGAGAGAAGGAAGAAGACGAGGCTAGGATGGCCGGAGATGCATCATGCACCTGACCTTCTCAACATCAGACCTTCATGGTCGGCCCTATGACAATGGTTTTTTCAGCTTTCTTCTTAAAATGGAGCTATTTTTTCCTTTTCATTCAAACTTTGAACTTCTGTTAAATTTTTCTACATAATCATCAACATCAATATCTCTAAATTGCACGAGTAGAATCACTTGAACTTCTGTCCAAAACTTTTCTGGACTACAACCTAGACAATCAACAACAGTGCCACATTACTCAACTTCTTCTGTGATGAGGGAAAGTTTGAGGCTACTGTAGGGAGAGGAGGGTGGCCTCACCAAAGCAGTAGAGATAATTTGGAGTACCTCACCGGAGCATCGGTGAGCCACGGCGGCTTTCTCCCACTGGCCCTAGGTGGACGGCATCCTGTCGAGGAGGAGGGCCTCCAGCAGGGCTCCACGCAGAGGAGGGGACGAGATCCAGCAGCCCACCTTGGATGCAGCATTGGGACTGGTGGAGCACCGAGCTGTCGGCCAGTGGAGGCGCTTTGGGTAGGCGGCGGCGTGTGGGGATCCTTTCGCGCAGCGGCGGCGTGTGGGATCCAGGGCCGTGCGGTAGCGCACATGAATCCATGGCCCTGTGGCGGCGCGCCGGGATCTTGGACCGGCGACGGCATCTGGGGTTCCAGGCCCTGGTGGCGGCGCCGGGATGCGCGTAGGATTTTGGGCGCTGCTGCACCGATGAGAGGGTAAGGAGAAGGAAGAAGGGGAGCTTAGGCGTGCGGCAGCAGTGGTCTGGCAGTCGCCGGCGAAGGATGATGGGAGGTCGGGGGATCGGATGTCGGTCGAGCTGGGGCGAGGTCGGCGGCGCGCCGAAAGGATGCGACGTCGGTTGGGGCGGGGCGAGGTCGTCGGTGCGCCAGAAAGAGGCAGGTCGATGGCGCTGGTTCCAGGAGGAGGGGGAGGCGGCGCCAAAAGGTCGCGCGACAGCGGGGTCTGGGAGGTCGCCGCGGCGGTAGGGCATCGAGGGGAAGGGGGGTCGGGTGGGAGAGTGGGCAGTTCGTGGCCTAGTGTGTGGGTGTTTTTTTAGTTGTTGGTTTTGCAAGTTCGGGAATATCCGATCGCTCTCTATATAGAGCTGGTCGTGATCCAAATAACTATTCTGATCCCAGGATCAGAATAGTGCCACTATATATATATATATATATGTGTGTGTGTGTGTGTGTGTGTGTGTGCGTATAAAGGGCTAGTAGAGACCGTGCGTGTGTATATATGCATGTGAGAGAAATAGTGTTTTCCAGCTGAGATTAGTGAAAAGAGTGGTACATAGTAGTCAGAAAGAGAGAGAGAGAGAGAGAGAGAGAGAGATAAAGAGAGAGTATGTGCGTGAGACTCCTCAACACCCCGAGAGAGATTGTGAGCATGTGTGAAAGAGAAATGTCGATGCATATAAAGTGTGTGCACTTATGCGGTAGATAGAGAGATATATAGTGCGTTTGTGAGAACGGGCCGAGGCATAGTGCATCTATGTGTAAAAGGCGGTTCTATGCATTAAATTAAAATATAAATGGCATTATTATTTTTGGATGAGATCATGAATTTTGCAAATTGCGTATGGACGAAAATCGGTCTATCAGACACCCATACTCTATTGAATTCTAGCATGTGCATGTGTTTATTTCATATTATCAATCCATAGAGTGAGAGCGGTTTGAAATACAGGCAATGGATGCTTTTGCAATTCATATATAAACATTAATTAGTGCACTCCATGTTGTTAGTGCGAAGCACTTTATACATTTGTCACTTGCATGGATACATTCCAAATTTCTAGCTATGAAATAGAATACATGTCGAATTCAACATAAAGAGGGTTTCGAAGATTCGAATTCATAGGAAGAGCCTTCATCTATTTGAACCCGAGATAATGGCATTTGTAAATCAGATGTAAAAGGGGGCATCAATCTTTGTTGTGTGTTTGAACATGCTATATATATATATTCATAAGCATGTCTAACTTTTTTTGCAACCAAGGAGATTATATCTGGAACCATGCATGAACTGAGGTAAGTTGCATATTTTTTAATATATACTCTTGTAAAATGTATATTCAAATGTACCACCTCCATTCCAAAATAATCGTAGCTTTTGGATTTTCAAGAGTAAAGATTTGTGAAGTTTGACAAATCCTGAATGTTCAATTCAAGAGAACCAAAAACGTTAATGCTTCTGCTCCCAAATATTGAACGAAGTGCCAAATACGCCTCTGGTCACCCGAAACCATGTGAGACTAATGTTTGGTGGTAGGAAATTACTGTCCTGACTCTGGCCCGTGTAGCCTATCGACCCGATGTCCAAAGGTCTAAACCAGGGTTGGTTTGTCACTTCACCAAGACGCCGGTCTCAACCGCCTTCGAGAGGCATTCATACGCCATGGGCGCCTAAACACCCATGCGCTCGGCTGAAATCTATCCCGCCCACATTTGGGACACCTGAGATTACTGTCCTACCCCCAACCCGCAATATGTCCAAAATTTTAGATGGGAGCAAAGTATGTAACTTTTCCCAAATATCAAACAAGAGCGTCCCAAAGCGAAACATTGTTCCCCCTTAAGTTCCCCGCCTCCCTCCGTTTCCCCATTCATACTCCATGGGCGCCAAAACGCCCTCTCCACCAGCCACGAAACCCCAGCCTCCTCCACCCTCCACCCCATAGCGCCCAATCCACCGCCGCCCTCCTCCATCATGCCGGAGCCGGTACCCCGACGTTGTCGTCCAACGCAACCGCAACCGCAGCACCCTCAAGGACTTAGCAGCTGAAGCGGAGGTAGAGCTGCCTTCACAACACCGACGCTGACGTGCGCCGTACGAGAACTACTCCGACCACGCCGTCCTGCGCCTCACTGCTGCCTCTCCACTGTCGCAACCGCCCACCATACCAGAGTTGTTCCCACTATGCCATCATTCGCCGCCTCGGATCTGCTTCCCCGCCAACAGACGGCCACCGCACCACACTCAACAACTTGGTCATGGGTTCGTCTAAGGCTGCACCATCCTCCACAACTTCTCGTTTCAAGCGAACCACAAGAAGATCGTTGGAAAAACAGAAGGAGGACACATCACTGCCAGCAGAAAGGGGTACTCCTCTTCCCTTATTCATGCAAACCTTATGAAGGAAATATGCCCTAGAGGCAATAATAAAGTTATTATTTATTTCCTTATATCATGATAAATGTTTATTATTCATGCTAGAATTGTATTAACTGGAAACATAATACATGTGTGAATACATAGACAAACAAAGTGTCACTAGTATGCCTCTACTTGACTAGCTCGTTAATCAAAGATGGTTATGTTTCCTAACCATGAACAAGGAGTTGTTATTTGATTAACGAGATCACATCATTAGGTGAATGATCTGATTAACATGACCCATTCCATTAGCTTATCACCCGATCGTTTAGTATGTTGCTATTGCTTTCTTCATGACTTATACATGTTCCTATGACTATGAGATTATGCAACTCCCGTTTGCCGGAGGAACACTTTGTGTGCTACCAAACGTCACAACGTAAATGGGTGATTATAAAGGTGCTCTACAGGTGTCTCCAAAGGTACATGTTGGGTTGGCGTATTTCGAGATTAGGATTTGTCACTCCGATTGTCGGAGAGGTATCTCTGGGCCCTCTCGGTAATGCACATCACATAAGCCTTGCAAGCATTGCAACTAATGAGTTAGTTGCGAGACGATGTATTATGAAACGAGTAAACAGACTTGCCAGTAACAAGATTGAACTAGGTATTGAGATACCGACGATCGAATCTCGGGCAAGTAACATACCGATGACAAAGGGAACAACGTATGTTGTTATGCGGTCTGACCGATAAAGATCTTCGAAGAATATGTAGGAGCCAATATGAGCATCCAGGTTCCGCTATTGGTTATTGACCGGAGACGTGTCTCGATCATGTCTACATTGTTCTCGAACCCGTAGGGTCCGCACGCTTAAGGTTTCGATGACAGTTATATTATGAGTTTATGAGTTTTGATGTACTGAAGTTAGTTCGGAGTCCCAGATGTGATCACGGACATGACGAGGAGTCTCGAAATGGTCGAGACATAAAGATTGATATATTGGAAGTCTATATTCGGACACCGGAAGTGTTCCGGGTGATTTCGGAGAAAACTGGAGAGCCGGAGGGTTACCGGAACCCCCCCAGGAGAAGTAATGGGCCATATGGGCCTTAGTGGAGAGATAGAGGGGCTGCCAGAGGTGAGCCGCGCGCCTCCTCCCCCTGGTCCGAATTGGACTAGGAGAGGGGGGTCGGCGCCCCCCTTTCCCTCTCCCTCCCTACTTCTTTCCCCCTCCTAGTAGGAGTCCTACTCCTACTAGGAGGAGGACTCCTCCTGGCGCCCCTATAGGGGCCGGCCGGCCTCCTCCCCTTGCTCCTTTATATACAGGGGCAGGGGGGCACCCCTAGACACACAAGTTGATCTTCGTGATCGTTCCTTAACCGTGTGCGGTGCCCCCCTCCACCATATTCCACCTCGGTCATATTGTAGCGGTGCTTAGGCGAAGCCCTGCGACGGTAGAACATCAAGATCGTCACCATGCCGTCGTGCTGATGGAACTCCTCCCCGACGCTTTGCTGGATTGAAGCCCGGGGATTATCATCGAGCTGAACATGTGCTAGAACTCGGAGGTGCCGTAGTTTCGGTGCTTGATCGGTCGGGCCGTGGAGATGTACGACTACATCAACCAAACGCTTCCGTTGTTGATCTACAAGGGTACGTAGATCACACTCTCCCCTCTCGTTGCTATGCATCACCATGATCTTGCGTGTGCGTAGGAAATATTTTGAAATTACTACGTTCCCCAACAGTGGCATCCGAGCCTAGGTTTTATATGTTGATGTTATATGCACGAGTAGAACACAAGTGAGTTGTGGGCGATATAAGTCATACTGCTTACCAGCATGTCGTACTTTGGTTCGACGGTATTGTTGGACGAAGCGGCCCGGACCGACATTACGCGTACGCTTACGCGAGACCGGTTCTCCCGACGTGCTTTGCACATAGGTGGCTTGCGGGTGACAGTTTCTCCAACTTTAGTTGAACCGAGTGTGGCTACGCCCGGTCTTGCGAAGGTTAAAACAACACCAACTTGACAAACTATCGTTGTGGTTTTGATGCGTAGGTAAGATTGGTTCTTGCTTAAGCCCGTAGCAGCCACGTAAAACTTGCAACAACAAAGTAGAGGACGTCTAACTTGTTTTTGCAGGGCATGTTGTGATGTGATATGGTCAAGACATGATGCTAAATTTTATTGTATGAGATGATCATGTTTTGTAACCGAGTTATCAGCAACTGGCAGGAGCCATATGGTTGTCGCTTTATTGTATGCAATGCAATCGCGCTGTAATGCTTTACTTTATCATTAAACGGTAGCGATAGTCGTGGAAGCATAAGATTGGCGTGACGACAATGACGCTACGATGGAGATCAAGGTGTCGCGTCGGTGACGATGGTGATCATGATGGTGCTTCGATGGAGATCACAAGCACAAGATGATGATGGCCATATCATATCACTTATATTGATTGCATGTGATGTTTATCTTTTATGCATCTTAT